GAGAGAGAGAGAGAGAGAGAGAGAGAGAGAGAGAGAGAGAGAGAGAGTCTTTGCTATTGGCACAGGCATTTAGCTCCATGTATACTGGCTCTTTAGATCAATACTATCATCAGCCAGCTGTTAGAGAACATACAAACAGAGTGCTTGTTTGAGCCTCAGAGGGCCGTATACCTGTGACCACAACAACATGCAGCATGTGTTTAATGCGATTCTGAATCAATAGCTTTCAACATGCTTCTTCGTTATTGGTGCACCATCTGCTTAACGGGTATTCCAACTCAGAATGAAAAGAAATGCCAGATTTGTTTCCCAGTAATGCTCAAGTTCACTGGCCCATTGCTCCAGCCTGCTCCACATGTAGACCACACGCTGGCGACTCTTGATTTTGCATATAAATGAAATGTTCCGGTTGAATAGGACCGTCTGATCAGATGTTTACTGACTTGCGAAGGTGAATAGGACACACAATGAAACAGGTTTTAACAGTCTGTGGTGTGTAAAAACGATCAACATTTTTCTATGACTCTCTTCATGCCAACTGAGTATTAACTTCAGGGAAAAATAAAAAGATTCTTGACTTGAAACTATGTGCTGTTTCTGCACTTTCAATCAGCGTGTCGAGTATTCTTCCTGAGTGTCTGGAATTATCGTTAAACACTTGTTGCAAACACACCCGATTAACGACTGGTTGACTAGTTGGTAAGAGTAAAAAAATGTCTTTTTCACATTTGCTGTGTCATTTTATTCTTTTGAAATGCATGAGTAACTAGCATAAACGTATTTGGCTTAAGCCTTCATCATTGTGCAACTCACTGTTTTACTCTTCTGCCTTAAGAACAAAGACACATGCAGCTAGAGGGAACTTTAAGTGTGGTATTTTTCCTCTGAGAGCCAGCCAGTCTGTTGGTATGGACACAGCAGGTAAACGAGAGAGAACACAGCGATCCTTCACTATACTGCACTAATTTTACCAGAAATAATCCAATTTTACACACAATTTTAGGCAATCAAGTGACGACTGAAACAGAGACAAGCGTTTATTCTTATGAATGTCTCAGATTATTATTCTAAATGAACCTGATTACTCTTCGAGCTTCTTTCTCCTCACCACATGCTGTGATGACGTAGAGGCAGATTGAGACTTCTCGCTGTTTCCCTGTGGACCCTCCACAACGCAACACCCACCCAGAGTATTTTCTAACCACCCATCCTCTACACTCCAGGGGAGACTGGATGAGGATGTCTGGATGTTTTAGGCTGAGGGGTGGTAGTAAAATAAATGACACCATCAATCCAGCAGGCAGCCATCTTTTATGCACAAGGAGGCAATGTTCTGGTGCAGCAAAAAAAAAAGGAACAAGCAAAAAACAATCCAAAACAGTGATGTGTGACACCAAAGAGCGCTCCATTGATTGACATTTTGTTATACTAATGTTCACAAAATGAAATCAAGGCTTCTCACAGATCCATTCACTCTGCTGCGCTATACACTGGACAAACCAGACTCCCTGCACACTGCAAAGAGGTACAAGTGACAGTAATAAAAGGCCAAATCCAAAGTGTGATTGATAAATCATTCCTGGAGTTATCACACTACAACACCAAAAGTGTGTACAGTACTAACAAAGTGCTGTTTTGGTGTTGTAATGTACTGTGATTGTTGAATATCTCATTCCAAAGCCATGAGCATTGGTTTGTTGCTATATCAGCCTCCGCTCTCCTGGTTCCACTCCCTCCAGCAGAGTTTGGAGGCTGTCTGCAGGGGTTTGGTCCCCTTTGAGCCAAAGAGCATTAGTGAGGTCCATCAATGACGTTGGGTGATCACATTCTGAATTCCAGCCCCATGGAAAGGATGACGTTCTTTCACAGTAAACTCAGCCAAAAAAATCAGCCAAGCAGGCAGGGGTGTCCTCATACTGGTGACCATGAAGTCTAAGTCCCCCCCCCCCATTGAAGACAACCAGGCCACATGTTACTATCCGAAATGATCAACCCATAGTGGAACTATCATAACAACTTCAGGGCATGAAGCTCAAATCTCTAACATGATATAAGTTTGGAGAGTTTGATGGATGGTGTAAGAGCATCGACATCGATCCCTCTGTCTGTGGTCTCTCCATCCTCACAGGACCGATCCGCTCCCCAAACACAGCGTCAGCAGCGCTGCTGCCTAACCTCTCTCTCTCTCTCTCTCTCTCTCTCTCTCTCTCTCTCTCTCTCTCTTTTCTCTACCGTCGCTTTCCATGGGTCCGATTGCAGACAGTAGAATGCACGTTTTCACCAAACACCCAAATGCATATCGACCTAATTGATTTCAAACGCATGCGGTGCCCTTCGAGTGTTACTTAACTAACCAGCCAAGTGCACGTGCATTGCAATCACAGGTGGAATTAGCATCATCTCTCTGGTGCACATCTCCGACATGTACAGTACTGTTACAACATCCAAGCAGCTGCTCACTCTGAGATTAACATTGCAGCACTGACAGCAATACAGCAACGTCAAGGAGCGTGCTAAAGCGCCGAGCGCAACAGTCTTCTTTTATTCTTTATTATTTTATTCTTAAGGATACTCTCTCTATCTTCATTTCTTCATCCCCTCCCTCCCTCTCTCATCTTCACACCTTCCATCCTTGCTTACTTACCTCAGCGCTTCTCTCTCGCTTGGAGCTCGGAAGCCAAAAAGCGGCTTCACCGACCCACCAGAGCGCTGCACACTGAAGAGAGGAGAGAGAGGGGGGGGAGACAGAGAGAGAGGGGAGAGAGAGAGAGAGACCGGGAGAGACAGGGAGGTGGGGGGAGAGAAAAAGCTGTGGGATCAGAAGCAGCTGCTTGTCTCTACCACTAATATGCAGACGTTCCTGTTTCGTGTGTGTGCGTGTGTGTGTGTGTGTGTGTGTGCGTGTGTGTGTGTGTGTGTGTGTGTGTGTGTGTGCTTGCATTACTAACATTGTGAGGACAAAACAAAATTCAAAGTTCACAAAGTCACATTATGGGGTCTTTCTATGGCCAGATTAGGTTATTAGGGGCCTCCAGGCAAGTACTTACCCCAATAGTCTGTCAACGTAGCCAGCCTTTTCAAGAGTAAGTCAGCACAATATAAACAATACAGTTAGTAAAATAGATGTACTTTCTCAACATGTAAGATAACTTCATTTAGACTTTGGTTGATGATGTACTTTAGTGGTACAAATTTCCAAACAAATGTCATCAAATTGCCTAAACTAACTGGCATGCAACCATGAATTAGTGACTTTAAAGTTCTCATGGAGTGTCCCTGCTCAACATGAAATTCTGAGCATTTCTATGTCCTCCAACCAATGGCAACAGTGCTGACAGGCCCTAAAGTGTTAACCTGAGGGGGAACTAAAGGGTGGGTGCTAGGCAATGGCGTAAATATCAGCGGGGCAACCAGCTTAGCTACACAGGGGGTGGGGGGGGATTTGGTGCTTCTGCTGCTGTCCATGGTGCTGACCAAATTACACACAGAGAGAGAATGACTTCATTCTCTGCTCAGGTGGCTTATTGTACCACATGATGGATCCTTGCCTTTGGATATGTATAGCGGTGCTTCCTACCACAGGTGAGGATAATGACATATTTTTTAAATCCCAATGCCTGACTTGTTTAGCAGCCCTGAGGCAAACATTGTAGGTGTCACTGAATGTATTTCCTGTTGGTTGCAGATATTATAATTCCCATATCTGCAACTTCAAATAGTTGAGACAAAGGCACTCACAAGCTTTTATTATATGAAGGGCAAATGCTCTGGACTCTTCTGCTCATGCAACAAAGCCAATAAACTCAACTATTGTTTCTTCCTCTTAAACCCTTTCCCATGTTCACCTCTCCCCATCTTTATTTTTTCACTCAGTGTAATCTTGTAATTTCTCATCTTGAACAGAAGCAGGTTTAACAGCTCTACACCAGGGAGCCCGCCAGATAAACTCTGAGCTGATGGGGACTTTTGGTCGAGCACGGAGACACATCAAAGCATCTGATGCAATGGTGGACTGTGGGAGGAAACTGGCAGCTTGCTGTAGTCAGGAGGGGTTACACTCTGACTATATGTGTGTGTGTGTGTGTGTGTGTGTGTGTGTGTGTGTGTGTGTGTGTGTGTGTGTGTGTGTGTGGATGCAACCACATCTCACATGAAAGCATGTCAACACACAGCTAGTTTACAGTGATTCGGCCAGCATGTTCTCACTGCTGGTGCTGGAGACTAAAAATATTTGGTGCCCTAATTCAACAGAGCGTTACTGGGACAGAGAGAGAGAAGAGTGGCAGCGTTCTTCAAAAGACAGTTGTTTCTTTCTTTCTTTGCTTTCTCACTTTAATCTGACGTTTAGTCTGCAAATGAGAAAAGAATGGACGACAACATGCTCAGAAATCAATACATGCACTTACCAACTAACTGTCGTCAAAAAAAAACGTTGATACTAATGGACCACTCTGGCCTGACAGATTGACATTCACACACACACACCATGTCTACTACTAGCCTCCACTCTGGACTGACTGAATTATTGAGCAACAGTAAACAGGAAGACGAGATCCCACTGGGAAGTGTGTGTGTGTGTGTGTGCGTGTGTGTGTGTTTTGTGTGTGGATGAGTGGTTGGGTGGGAGTTGCCCCACATTCGGTGCTCCTTTATAGCTACATGTCTCATGACATGCAATAACACACACATTTACCCATGTTTGCCTGTGTGGATATGTCCGTTAGCACCATGGATGGATTATTCTGTCTTGGGTTATATTATATATATATATATATATATATATTTAGAATAAAACCAAAAAGAGACACTAAAAGACCTCAAAGACACTAAAACCGAGCAAAAAGAAACAGATTACCAAAGAGATGGAAAACTGAATGCAATAACTGAGACGTAATACTGCACAAAGAGACAAAACAGAACCAAAAAGAGACACAAAAAGACCATGAAGAGATACAAAAGGGGCGTGGTCTGTGCCCAGGGCGTCTCATAATCCGCCCATGGTTAGCACCGTTTCAGAGCAAGGGCTGTAAAAGTGCAAGAGCTGTGTAAAGTTCAACTGTATAAGAAAGTACTAACCGTAACATCAGTAAAAAACAAAGTGAGCCCGAGAACATTTACATAAAAAATAAATATTTAGAATGAATCCACCCATTTTCTGCTGCTAGTTTATATCTGGGTCGTGGTGGTAGTACAGTAACAGGGCATGAAAAGTAGCCCAGATGCTCTGGCTATTCCATGGCTTCTTCCTCCAGCTTTAGGAAATCCTTCCAGTTCGATGTGCTTTCACAGGCATTGAGGCATCTCAATCAGACACACAAACCATCCTGTCTGGCTCCGTGCGATGCAACTGCACACCTACAGAAAACATTTTGAATGATTTCTGTATTTGTGAATCACTTTTATATGAGGCGGTCTTTGTCAATGAGTTAATTAGAGCTTCTCACGATGCTTCACATCTTATAAACAGCTGAAATCAATCTAAATATTCCTGAAGTAGGCTTTATAGAAATAGCTGAGATGTCAAAGATGCGTCTGTCACTGGGACGGTGTGCTACACTCACAGCCATCACAGACTGACAGGTATATTGTGTAAATCGACGGATCACCTGCGCGAAGGGACTGTTGGCATCTGGAATGACAGCAGACAACAAAGCTATGCCTTTTGAAGAACAAAACACCTTTTTACTTTCTCTGACTCTCTTCTTGAGTGTCTGATAAGAGGCGAGAGCCGCGCAGAGACATGAAGGCGTTGTGTGGGCTGCTGGAGAGTGTGGGATAAAAGCATCAAGGGTCCACACACGGCACAAGAGGAAGAAAAAGAGATGACCACATGCTGCCAGTAGACAGAGATGCTTCATTCTTTTGTATTTTGGATTAACAGCTTTGATTTGTGTCTATTTGGGTGTTTTCAAATGTTTTCTTATCACTACAGGTCAAAAGTCACTAAACTTTTGTACACTACTTGCACACTACCTGCCCAGCACCAAACAGCAGACAGCAGACAGACACAGATAGCAACTAGCTGGTGAACATAGTGGAGAATTTAGCAGTTAAAGCATGTAAACACATAGGCAATTTAAACATCACATTTGCTTCTGCAACCTGTATACGCCGGAATCCTGGAGATACTAAATTATGGCTGATCAGACGTCAATTCATGGCATGGCGCACTTCTCTCTGTAGCAAATCCTTGAAAGGAACCCCCGGTGAATCAGCCCACACATTTTCCACCTGTAGCAAAGATGACTAATCTGTAGCCTCCTCCGCATTGAACCTGCCCTCCTCTGCACCGAGACTGCAGTCACTGCTGCGCTGGCCTCAAACGGCCCTGAGCCACTGCTGCAGCCCGGGTCAATCCACAGCAGCACAGGTGACAAACCAAGAAGTCTGATCACAGTTCTCTCAGCTGCACGAATTGTTTGGCGCACAAATTAGTCAGACGGTTATTTATTTTTTTCACAGTCAGATACATTCGCTAAAAGACTTGAATTCCGGAAAAGCATCATTTCATTTTGTTGGGGAAATAATTTAGTCCTGTGATATATGTGCAGGGATTTACAGATACTTCACAGAGATGAAGCAGCTTTTCTTTATCAAGGCTTTAAAGCCCTGCTGGCAATCTTTGGACGAGACTAGATTATCAATGTGATGATAATAACCATGGCGACCTTGAATAGAGGCAACATTGACTCTGACTCTGTTCTGTCATAAGAATACAAGTTCTGGAAAAAGAAAGTAAATGGACATTGAGCTTGGACAGTTTAAAGTACCTTCATCTGCTCCGATGAAGGTCCTTGACACCGAAGGCTAAAAATAAAGTGTTCTCTGCATAGATCTAGTCTATCAAGAACCTTAATCTATAATTCCTCTTACAGTATATGTCTAGTCTTCTATTTTTATAGTCAGTCAGTATTTCACAGCCCATGCTTGTTTCAAGGAATTCAGTATTTTTCTTTTTAACGTATTTGTAAACAAGCAAATTTCTCTAGATGACACAATATTTTGCTTTATTATTATTTCCTTTGCAGTGCCTGCAGCTACCAGGCGTCCTGGTCGCAGGAAGGTAATACATACAACACATTCTTTCCTGCTACTTGATCTTCATAAAAGTTACCCATTTATGGCATCACAAACAAATGCATATATAGAAGTCTAAAACAACTTTATTTGTGAATGATCACAGCTCCTGAAATCACACTCAATCTCACAAGCTGGAGATCTTCGGTAAGACTGTAATGCATCGTTGCATGGAAGTAATTCAGGCTGACGTTTAGTTCCAGTATAGTGTAACAACACTGTTCCTTCCATAAAGTTCAGATGCAGAAAGCTCTTCTGTCATCTCCATGAAAAAAAACAACAATGCTGACGTTTGTTATGATTATCTCTTTCAGCAGTGGCAGCCATCTACTGTGTAATGAGTGTAAGAAGAAGAAAACACAGGCGAGGTGAGTCCCTGCTCTCGCTGTGAGAGCAGTTAAAGTGCAATCAGATGAATCAGTGTGACGCGGGAACAACAGCAGCCCGAGGCAGACTCGGTCCAAATCCCAGACCTCTGCCCTCTCCTCACACTCTCACTCACCGCTAGATGCAAGCAGACAGAAGCTCTGCAGGAGAAAGGAAACCCATGTCCACTCAGAGCGAAACTGAGCTGTTATTAGTGCATTCGAGGAAAACATGACACATTACATTGGTTGCTCTGTGAAGCCTGTCACATGAAATCATATATTTTATAAATTGATGTATGTATTGAAGCTTTTGAAAAAAATATATATCATGCAAATAAAAATAAAATGTGCATGAATGATTTTTTTGTTTGCATCATGTTTGGCTTTTATTGCCATTTATTGATCTCAATTGGGGTTTTACTTTTAGAAGCAAAAACATATTTATTTATTGCATACATTTCTTACTATTTTAAAATTATATTTTAAAATAGTATTTACATATTTAAACTGTATTTATATATTTTCATATTATAAATATATACACACTAATACACATTTTTATCTTACGCATTGAGTATTTCACTACAGCACATCACTATATATTTGATTTATATATCATGAAATCTATCACTGTTAAGGCTGAGTATCGCCACTGATCTTCTAATTCAATACAATTCGATTTGATTCAACAACGTTCAGGGATATTTGAGTTTAAATACCAAGTTTGGTTGGATATTAAAGAGATTCTAATGCTGATATTATGCATATTCTATATCGCCTAGTCTTATAGGGAACCCTATAGCCTGTTTATTTTTTTTTAACCAGCCCAAATCACTATCTCTTTACTCAATAACATGGGAATAACTGAACTATTGGTTAAATCAGTTTTTTTAGACAAATATATCAATGCACATTTATGAACACATACTCACTATTATATACGTATTTCACTGTATATAGCTTTCTTTTGTCAATGTATTATACAGGTTTTCTTATTCTTTACAAGTAAAAAGAATAAGCAACATAGTGCAGAAACAAACAAGTAAACAGCAGCACAAATAGATATGGCATTTATTTATTTCAGAAACTTTAATACTGTGATCACTGCAAATGTCTTTTTCATACCTTTACATTTTACAAAGACAATGGATCCGGGATGTAAACAGTATTTTCAACTCTGTAAAACGTATGGTCCTCTTGAAATAGTGTGCTTAATCTCCGGTCAGAGCTGATCCCGATGTAAGCCGGGACTCTGAGCTTCGTGAAACCGTCCTCCCCGGCTGCAACCACTAACCTCGCAAGTTGCGCTTGACTGAAAACCAGCATCCTGTACAGAACAAACAACAAGCAGCCTGCTCTTGTCTGTTCAGTGATGCTTGGGGGGGTGAATAAAGTCGAGCACCTTCCTCTGTTTGGCAGGAACTGCATTGGCAGGAAAACTACAGAGTGACATCAAGACAAGATAGCACAGGAATGGATCAATTCACCCGTCTTATCCAAAACCTGTCGACACAAGCATTTTATATAAAACATTGTGCAAAGGTTCTTAAAAATAAAAGATATTACAAAATGGAACACTTGAACATCTGAACTGAAGAAAGAAACAAAACGAACTGTAAAATAACGCAACATTCACACTGAAGTAACTGGTGTGTGTGTGTGTGTGTGTGTGTGTGTCTTTGAATAAGGTGGACAGCTGTATCCAACATCCAACTTGATGCACACTTTTAAAGATGCGAGCAAAACATCTGCACTGCACAGTTTGTCATTTGGCCATACTTCATATTTGGAATACAAAAAACTAGAGCACTTTCCATGTACAATAAAATACGAAACATTACATATTAGTAATTATTTAAGCATCGACATACTGTAGTTCTGGCAAGGAAACCAGTGCTCAAAACAATTTACAGTCAAAACCTGGATTTTGGGAACATTTCTGCCGACACAATTCTTATTTTCTGTGTATTTTGAGGATTTCACATTATTGGATGACTACTAGACTGCTTTTCACAACTGGCCAATGTGTTAAAACAACCAAATCATATCATCAAGCAAAACATTTAAGCACTTGACTGTCCACTGGTGGTGTTATAATCCAAGAGATTCTTAAAACAGAACCGTTCACATCGTCTTTGTGAAGAGTTCACTCATCTCCCTGCAAAGCTGCAGAGCTGAATGTCAGTTATAGCAAACATCATACCTTTAGCCCGTTTATATATTCTCTTTACATTCAGACCGGGTGCCACTTTGTGCTTTATGCTGCAGGGTTGTAATTGCATCGATTCAAGATGCAAATTAACTTCAGGAGATTCAAAAACTGGGAGCGTGTTTTCATCGCAGGGGGAAGGAATTAAGGCTTACACCAGTACAGCGCGTGAACAACAGTTTCAACGTGCATGCTCAAGTTAGCGACCTGAAAATAACCCCGACACAGACACTTGGCTGAGGACATAGCTGTGTGGGCTCCTGCTTGGGTTGTAAGTAGTTTTGGGATTTGGGGGGGGGTTAACATTTTTTTCCAATACACTTTTATTACAGGGGCCCTGAAAGATATACTGCATGCAACTGAATGCAAAGGCACACACACCGACGCATTTCGGCACACGTCACACACTCTCGTCCCTGCGTCTGGAGGCCGGCCAGCCTGGCTGTGTTCAGTCAAAATATTCATACGAACAAGAGAAAGGCTGACGCCTCCCCGTACAAACTTTTATCAAGTCTACAGCTGTGAGTATGAGGGTATTTAAAACTAATGTGTGTGTGTGCAAGGTACGTGTGTATGTGTGTTACCATGTGTGTCTATTTCTCAGGATGAAGAAGAAGAAGAGCCTTTCCCTTTCATCTGTTCCCCAGGTGCTGTTTCAAAGGCACGTCCCTGCTCTGCCTGGGAGTAAATGACCAAAATAAGTGACTGTAGGCACGGCTGAATAGACCGATGAACATTCACACGACGACAACACACACTGCCAAAGGAAGGTACTGCCGCTCCTTCTTATCGGGCCGTTTTTAATCTAATCATAGAAGTCATTTTTACTTTCTCTAAAGATCCTCACTTTCCCCAACACGTACTGAACCTGAGGAAAACTAGACATGTTAAAAATGTAAAACACACCCACATACACCTACGGTCTGCTCCCATTATCAAACATCCACCTTTGATTGTCCCTCAAAGCTGGCTTCTGGTTGTTCTTCCTGTTTGAGGTCGCGTGCCCCCCCCCCCCCGGTTGATGTCTGATTGTTGAAGAGGCGCGTGGGGAATTTACAGAGTGACTGGCAGCACATTTAATAATCATGACATTTCCACTGGTCATCACTAGAGGGCACTGTAAGCAACACGACAGCAGGCTTGGGCACTACGAAATACAACAGAATACAGAAGTAAAAGCATATATTTCGGCTTTAGCCAGAATTAAGAAAGAAAGACATTTAAATAATATCGCAAGTGACCATTTCCTTGAGGAACTAAACACTGATGTCAGTTGTACTGTACGAATAGAACAACTTATTTATTGGAATTATAATACAAGGAAATAAATTAACCTGAAAAAAACTTTTTCCCTCCCAAAAATGTCTCTGTCATTGCTTTTCAGCTGGCTCTCTGTATTCCAGACAGTGGGATGGTGAGTGGAGTCCTCTCTTTCCTTTTTTTCCTCAAAGCGCGACATTCACTGCTTTAATGGAAGATAGAGACATTGTCTTTGAGGCGTCACCTTTAAAACAGCTTTTCCCACATCAAATATCTTCCCGAGAGCAAACTCTCCCTGTTTTTGTTTTGAGAGAGACAGGAGTCCTGACTTCTTCCTATTGCTTTTTTAAGACACATACAGTTGGGGATGGACCAAAGCACTCTGGATATCAGTCATGTTTAACGGCACCACATGCCGATGGCTTATAAATATACTCCTCTGCCAGGTGTTGGTTTGTGCTGTAGAGACAAACAGGATGCTGTAATCCAGATATGAGTGACACAGAGGAGAGGAAGAAAAAAAGAAAACACTGTACAAATCCATGTTTCCCTCCCGTTCAGACACGTGTCAACCTGCTTCCATGTCGGTGGCTGTGAACAGCCACAATGACCCTTCAGGGGTCAGAAGCTTCGAGGACATGAAACACTAAAACTCTTTACACTCCATTCACATGTGAAAGGAAATGAAAACGTCTCCGGTGTCCGGTGGTGTTGAGGCTTTAGATTCATTGTACCTTTTGTTCGTGTTACGGCGAGCTCCAAGCGGCTGGGCTGGCAGATCTGTCGCATTCCTGTCAGACTTTGCGTGGCACTTCAGAGACGTCTTCTCTGAAGTCACGTGGCTGTCTGCTACCCTCTGCTGTAGCGGGTTGGGTTTGGCACTAAAGACTCAAGTCACCTTTCAGAGAAGCTGGGCAAAGTTAGGAAAAAGGAACAAAGAGGGGAAAGGCCAGATATGGACTTTAGAGAAGCGCATCCACTGAGAAGGCATGGCGGGGGGGGGGGAGAGACATTTTGCGAAGTCGACTTCTTCAAAAAGAGAACGGAGGGGAAGAGCTTCCTCTTTGTTTGGCAATTTTGCAAAAACGATTTTGGCACAGCGAGATGAGCGAAAGATCAATTCAGCAATGTGGCGAGTCTTTCATAATGTGAGAAACAACACCCATTTTTCTGGAGTCTCATCCTGAGAAAGGCAAACAGAGGGGTCTGTGGGGACTGCGGCTGGTCGATAATATTAACCCGCTGATGTTTGAACCCAATGGAAGATGGTCGGAGGGCTTAGCGGCATCAGGCTGATTTGGGACCAACAAGTCTCCACTTCTCTTGTGCACAGTTTCTTCCCCCCTTCTGCCTCTCCCGTCCAGACTGTTCGTGCTGATGTATGCATGTGTGTGCGTGCGTGCGCGAGTTGAAATGTGCGGGTCGGAGTCAGTTCATGTCGATGGTGTTGAAGACCCACTCGGTGAACTTCTTGAGCTTGGCGGCAGAGATCTGCGACTCCTCCTGCAGTCTCTGGTTGTCGTCCCACAGCCTCTTGATCTGACCCTGAAGTCTCCCCTTCTCATCGCGCTCCTGTGGTAGACGGGGAGAGGTTGGGAAAATCAATCAATCAATTAAAGCAGTTATTAAGCAGTTAACTTTGAAGAAAAAAATGTACTCACACTCAAGATTCAATGTAAACCCCTTACTGTCTGTGTAAATATAATAAACAATATCTGGTGTTTACATAAACTTCTCAGCTCTGCAGACTGTGAGTCACACTCGAGAGAACTTTTAAGGGCTTTGTGGGCAGATTTTTTATCAGTTGACACTTTGAATCCGCCAACAGCACAACGAAAGTGAATCCCTAGTTGGGTGCATGAACATAAATATCGAGCCAGTTAAAGAAAACAAACTGTGGGGAGGTTTGCTTCATGCTGTCAGTCAGCTGCAAGCTGATTGCTGCTGGCTTGAGGGTGGTTGAAGGAGGTGAGAGAGAAGCTTATTAGTTTCCCTTCTGTCAAACTCATCGACTGCTACTTAAAAAGAAATAAGTGCAGACGGCATAACGCTCTCCGGTATTTCACAGACGGCAGAGAATTTACGAAGAATTGCGTAAGAAACTAATCGCACAGACCACAGAAGAGGAAAACTCTTCGCTGCTAACAGGTCTGGATAGTTAACTAGCAACTCAAACCTTTAAAAACTTCCAGTCCTGTTGGCTAAGAATGAGGTGACAGAATGAAAAATGATGCTGCTTTTATAAGCAGAATTTGGTGTAAATAATCAAACCTGTCTGGTATCATTATTAGAGGCTATTGGTTGTGGTATAGTGGTGAGGAAGACGCATTGGGCGGTGTCGTACCAACTGAATATATCCATCTAGCTAAACCTTGTTGCTGACTTTCTTCACAGCCGTAGTCTTTTGTGGTTCCTTGAAATGAAAGACTGTAATACGGTTTCTTTATTTGACTATAAAGGAGACTTTTAGGAGTAGCTGTACATGTCTTTTTGCAGTTTAAATGTGCTGTAAAAAATCTGAAACTCTCTTGTTTGACACTGGAGAGTTAGCATGAATGAAGATAGTTGTGTGAAATGCATCACACACACACACACACACACTCTAAAGCAAGCAATCCTGAAAGTTGTTTGTTTCCAGTCCTCTCCTTCCAGGTGATTTGAAGTCAAAATAATTGCTGAGTGTTTGAGAGAAATCTGAGTCAGCAGTTAACAACATTGAGCGATGAAGCGGAACCAAATCAACAGCAGCAGTTGATTTGGTAAACAGCTGACTGTGTGTTTTATATTTAAGACAAAGTGTTCATTTACACCATCTGGAGCTGTTCAGTTGTATGCAAATCAACCAGGCCTTTCATTTTTCATTCCTTCTGGCACTCGAATAGAGAGGAAAGCGAGGAAATTACCTTTTAGCACAACACAGAGTGGAGGTTGTAAACATGCAGACAAAAGTTCTCGATGCAGCCCAAAACAATCAACTAAAACTGTACATATGTATATGTATATAATATACATATGTATGCGCACGTGTTTGTGTTTTCCCTCCCACCTTCTTCAGGTCCTCCTGCAGCATCTTCACCATGGCCTCCAGCTTGGTGACCTTCCTCTCCAGCCCTATGTGACCCTCACTGTGGATAAGAAAGCAGCACATAGCAGGACTTTCACATACATCACACGGATACATTTAGATAGATAAGAAGGAAACAGTGTGCGAGTGAAGTAAATAAAGATTACAATCAAACTGGTAAAGAGTGTGCAAGTATGGTGTTACCTAGACGAGGGCCGGGACAGCGGAGCGGGCTGCAGCTCTATGTGTGGCTGTTGGGGACTGGAGGCACCGCTGCTTCTGTGGTTTGAATCTCCGAACACGTAACTCCTCTGGACTGGAAGCAGAGAGAAAAGGACAAAGGATGAACACAAGTCAACAGATGCAGAATGAATAAAAAAATGCCTTATTATTATTATTCATAATGTTGACAGCGAGTATCATAATTACTTGATACTACCTTTAGACCAATTTGATGTTCTCTTGTCATTTATTTAGGTCAAGTGCTTATCTTAGTGCATCTTGTGCCTGTGCAATGAGACAAATCACATTAAAGAAAAGACTTATTAGGCTTATTAGTAATTGGTAATACCGTAGTGTGTGTTTCTTTCACCCTCAAAGGTATTGGCCACATCCACCAGGTGTGTCCACTCTAGGGGGCTGTCTCTGTCTTGAGACGGGAGGGGCATCAGCTCCTTAGGGAGAGGTCCACGATGACGCTCCACCAAATCCACCAATGATGTGTCAGATGCCGAAAGGTCGCCTGTTAACGGAAAACAAGTTGTGGAAAGAACTGAATGTAAAATTACTCTTTTTTTTTTTTTAGCCATTGTATAATTTCAATCAAAAGAGGGCAGCAGATACACATGTAGAGCTGAATCAGATCTATCACACACTGCTTCAGTTTCTTACAGTTATGTTCTGTTGTAATCATAAATATAAACAAACCACATGACTTAGTGGGGATGTATGAAGCTCCTTTTCCTGCATTGCTTTCACTCCATGTATAAAATGACCACATAACATAAAGAGCTACGATTACAAAATACAGTCTTTTACAAATCAATAGAAGCACCTTTTCAGTGTGAATAGATTCCAGCTGTTATAAATGCCTCTACGGGCAAGACACCTACACTCCTCCACCTCCTCCTCCTTACCGTGGAGTTTGACTCCCAGCTTATAGGAAGGCCGTCTGAGCGGAACACCGCGGGTGGTGGGTGAGCGTGGGAGGGTGGAGCAGCTGAAGAGAACATCTGCGCTGAGTGTCGGTTCCGTTACTGAGCTGCACAAAGTAGGAAGTCGTTGGCCACGATAGATGCTCTCATCCGATAGGGTACGATGGAGTGAGTGACGGCGGCCGAGAGGCTGGCTTGGTGGTGATTTCTGGCCGTGCTTCACAGGAAGGGAGGAAGCGATGAGGATGTGTTAATTGTATTATATCACTGAGAAACAGGATCTGCACCCATTCATTCTGCGGGTGAACACCTGTATAGAGACCAACGGCGTCAATACTGCTGCATGTGTGAAAGTTTATTCAAAGGAATAATTCACCCACAAAACGACCAGTTCTACATCAATTACTCACTCCGTGTTACATTGAATTCTTGAAATAAACTTGTGGGTACAAACTTATTGAGGTTTCCAAATGTTCCCGTCCCATCACAAAGATATCTTTGAAAGACGCACATTTAGTGGGTACTGTGTCAGGAGCAGAATTATTATGACTTGATTTAGCCTCGTCTATAGAGCAGTAATCAACTTTACTCACTACAGTAGAAAGACTCACTGATATACAAGAGGTGTAAAAACCTGGCTAGCAGCAGTTCAGTAATGTTAAGACATGTTCCTGGGTGTCTGTTTACAGGTTGTTTCTGTAACAAGGGTCACAAACAAACCTGCAGACGTACCTTTTCCTTATGTCTGCGTGGTGGTGGAGGGCTGTCTGGGGCAGAGTGTCTCTTCACATCTTCCTCCATCGTAGATTTGGCATGAGGCTGGGGCGAGTGCATGTCCCGAAGAGAGGGCCTGGCTGCTGGGGTTGGAGCAACCTCCACTCCACCCTCTCCCGGAGACTTCCTAATAAACACACACACACACAAAACAGACGCAAGCCAGACGATTCAGCAAACATATTCAGGAGGAAAATGGTCCACGCTGCACTGTTAATGCATTGTCCTTATATAGTAATTGCATCGATATATGAAAAGAAATATGTGGTCGTCAGTGTCCACAGTAGTGCCTTTAATTGCATTCAGTTAAGCCTTGAGTGCAATATGCTCTTCAACCACAAGGGGGTAATCGAGTAGTATGCATATTATTACTACAGGAAGACATAAATAGTAAAGCAAAGGGATTAAATGCAGATTTATGAAACATTCCTAAAATAAAAACTGTCATTGAAAATCTCTTAATGTTAAATTTTGTCGCCCCAATATACACCAAGGGATGAAGGGATCACCTCTGACACAGTCTCATCATCAATGCAACATTATAAGCTTTACAAAGGGTGGTATTGGGATTGTGAATGAGTTGCATTACAGAGTCCTCTTCTTCATTTGTCCAGACCTCAACCCAGGTCTGGTTCACTTGTTCCAAACTGTCTCAAACTACAGCAGTGATAAAAGACCAGGCATTCCCTTCTAAAGTTACACAATCATGTATACAGTTTAAATCCACTGCTGGACTGGGGAACTACAATGAAAGACACACCTAATTGTTTCTTAATTTGTTTTCTGCTCCATCCTTACTTGCGTGTGTCTCCGAAGTCGACGGAATTGATGGTGGAACCGGGTTTCCTCCAGCCAATCAGGTACTTGGACTGAGCTCCTTGGCGGGGGTAGAAGCTCTTCGGCCCAGGGGATGATGAGGACTGGGATGAAGGGGACGTGGTTGAAGAGGAGGAGGAGGACTCCTCTCTTGGGGAGCTGTGGCCTGAATGCCTGACACTGATGGATAAAGGAGAGCAACAGGGGGGGGGGGGGATGAGAGGGGTTATCCTGCATCTTTAGGCAGTGGCAGGTTTGTTTTATGGATTTACCAGATCTCTATAATCTTTAGAGATGACAATCTGAAAAAATTGCCTTATACAATATACATTTTTTCTTAAGTGAAGCATTAATAAAAATCTCAATAGTTTAACATTTTAATACTCTCGGAATTTCCAGGAAGGAAATACATAGTTGAGTTATAGATGGAAGATTATATAAAGTACCACCTGCGGTCAAACTCATTTCAGAGCCCTTCTTTATTCCCCCTTCACCACTTTGACAGAATACAAATGTGTCTAAAATGCTGGACTGATGATTTTCAGGTCATGAACTGTAACTGGACCTGAGCAGGTGAATTAAGACTCCCTCAAACAGGAAGAACAAATCACTGGAGTTCTCTCGGCTCCAGACACCGATTGAGCTATGTAAAGGTGGACATGTGTTGCACATTTCCTGAGGCCTAATGTGGAAAGATAAGAGGGAGTTAAGACTGCTCCCGTGCTTGGTTTCCAGGAAACACTTAATGAGAGCGAGGTGGTCTAGTGTGTGTTCCTCTTGGGCGGAGAAATATTAGCTTGAGTAATGAGAGTTGGAAAACATTCTGCAGAGGTCAAGCAAACGCTGCGATGTCACATGACAAAGTGGAAGAGATCAAAATTGAAACTAAGACTGAAATTAGATAAAACTTTTATTGAGAGAAAATTGAGAGAACTGAGAAAAGCTTCTCCTCACACAAACACAAACACACACAGACACATACCTGGAGTGTGAGCCAGCATCACTCAGACTGAAGGTGCTGCTGTCTCTAACAAGGAGATGAGTAGGCGGGCTTCTGCCCGTCCCCTCCACACTCCTTTCCACCGGAGGGCCCGGGGACTCGGCTGCTGCCGGCGACCTCTCCAGCATCCGGCGGCCTCCCTCGGTGGGGCTGTGCCATGGAGACGCTGACCGCTCCCTGCTCTCCCTGCTCTCCCTGTTCTCTCTGCCTCCGCTCGGGGCCAGCAGGGAGGTGGTGCTGCCATGATGAGAGTGGGGGTGTGTGTGGTGAGAGGCTCCGTACGAGCTGGTGTCTATGCCGCTGTCGGCAGACGCCCCCTGGAGGTAGCCTCCTCCGCCCAGGCCATTGGGCTCCGGCTCACCCTGGTCACCGCTGGAGACTCCACCCGCTCCCATTTCGTACCATTTATCGCTGTCGCTGTGGCCCCCGCTGGAGGCTGTGCTGGATAGAGTGTTACTGCTGGAGTGCCCAGAATAAGGGCTGTCTGACTGCTGGAACAAGGAGAGTGGAAATGACAGGTGAGGGAGATTTCTATGTCAGTGATCATTAATATAACTTCAGACTAAAGTATTATTTACTATGATTACATAATGAAATTTACACTGTCTGCTAACATAGATGCATCTGAGCGACAGAAGAAGAAATCAAAGAGGGGTTACAGATCAGGCTTCAGAACCCTGGTGGTGTAAATAGTGTAAGACGGGTGTAAAGCCTGACCTGGCTGCTCTTCTTCGGGGACAGGTGGATGACCTGCTCCTGTCTTTGGATGCGGGGACCTCCAGAGTAGCCTGGACCAGACTTGGATGCTGGGGCTTCTACAATAAATAGGACAATATACACAGCTGGGGTTGGTGACGAATTCATGCACACAGCCTGCGGTACAAACAGATGACTTGTTGATGACTAAACAGAGAAGTCGTTCTGCTCTCTGCTCACTCGTGTGTATTTTGCTACTACAGCACTCATGTTTCCTGGAGGTTCATAACGATGACACTGGTTTCACTCTGACTTTTTTGTCTGTGGACAAAAAAACCAGATCCCTTGTCTTCAAAAGTAGCACACATCAAACAGAAATGTGTTCCCCAGACAGCCCCTGCTGGCTTTGTTTGTTCTGGGCAAGCTGTTCCGCGTCAGGGAATGCGCGCGTGTGTGTGTGTGTGTGTCCTGAAGCAAAACTTGGGGTATAAATGGGACTGTTGTGAAATTGTCTACATGTTATGCAAGAAGACATACAAGAGTAGGCAGCTAATGACCAAAGCACTGTGAGAGGCAGAGCTGAGGGAGGCATCATAACATCTGCTAGGATGAATCTAGTAATGTAGTGCCCCCCCACCCCCCCCGATATTTTGCGACAAACCACAGACACAAATTTCCCAGCAACTTTGGTTAATGTGTACACTCCTGTAAGCGTTGTTCAACTAAGAAAAAAAACACTGTTAGTAGGTAGTTAAAAATTGCTGTGCAAAGGAAGGAAACACATTTTCTGCATCTCACCGCCCAACGCATGAATTAATCATAAACCTGCCACAGTATATCAAAACAAAATTGAGCAAATGCTGTGTTAAATAGATGCAACAGGACAACCTGAGGCAATAACTACTCTAACTGGTGCAGGGGCCATTCAGAGCGTGGCGATTTGGAGCGTTGCCGTTTGTAGCGGGCTGACTGCTTGGCTTCGGGTTTTGCCGCTTGCAGCGTTGTCGAGAATCGATCATCGATAGTTGACTCCAGGAATAAAAGTGAAGAGAGTTTGGTTGTAACGTTAGTATATCCAGCAGCAAAAGCGACCCGCAGTCAATGAGCCAGGGCCTGTAAAGGCTCGCTGTGGCCCACATGCTGGACTCAAGTCTGCAGGGACCTGAAGCCCCGCCTCCGCTGCTGTACAGCGTGCTATCGCTTGTTTATTCAAAGGTTATCAATATTGAACATGTGCCGTGTGTCCAAATTGCACCATATTGAACAATGGGAGTCCTTGGGTCCCCAGCTGTACACCCACCAAGTGTGAAGTAGATCAGATGAACGGTTCTCGAGATATGCGACGACACACCCAAAGACTGAGAGACAGAGATTCCTTGCTTTGTTGTTAGATACAAAACCCTGTAGTGGCTAAATTAATGGCAAAGGTAATGTCAGTTTGTGTGACAGGAAAGCAAAAGTGAGTATTCTGCCCTCTGCATGACTTAGTTATTTCTGGACCGAGCACGGCCACATCATCATCGCTGAAGACTTAACGGGTCAAGGGGTTAAAAATGGAAGGAAGAGGAAAGGACAGAACAGAACCTCAAACCACAGAGGCAGCCGAGCAGACTGTGCAGGGCAGGACAGTTGGCTGAGGCAGTCGAAGCTGGCTCAGCCTGCATTGTTCCACCCTGACCAATAACGACATAAGTGCTTTAAAACAACCACAAAATGAGAGACTCAGGCCGTTCTCTGTGATTGTGGCGGTCAGGAACAGGTTGAGGACACGGTTGAAAGTATGTTCCACAATGAACCAAAGCTGGGATTCAGAGGATCGGTAGAGGAGCATGTAGTTTTTATGGCTTTTAGTGCTGGAAAACAAGAAAAAAAAACCCCAAAGAACAGTGCATGGGAGGATACTCGTAATTAAATGAAAGCCAATATAAAAAGGATGAATGAGAGGAGAACATAATCGGCCGTGGAGAATGAGGAACAGTCTGGAGGAAGTGAGGGAAGGAAACACAAAGAGAAGGTTGGCCAACTGTGTTGACAGGAAAGAGAGGAATGTCTCCCCTTTCTTCTGTATTAAACCTTATAGAATAGAGTGAGAAAAAGCCATATACTTTAATTGAGATCACCGTTTATATCATCCCCCCCCATCCCCCTTCAATAATTATCACTTTCCTTTTTCTGTTTGTCTCATTATCTTCCCACCTTTTTGTCTGTTTGCAGAGACATCAAGACCTGCTCTGTGAAGGCAATATAATTCACAGCTTGCAGAAGAGGCGGCGGATGAGGGGGAGGAAGAAGAGAAAGATTGTGGATGCTGTCAGAGTTGCTATCTCAGCTCCAAAAAACTGTCACTAGCAGAAGAGGAGGCACACACAAACACCATGCACACACTCTTCTGGATATACCTGTCATTCCAACAGATTTAGTAATATGAATAATAAGAATGATTTATTTTCCGCGTTGCCCCCCCCCCCCCCATGCTATTCAAGAGTCAAGTGCCTTCACATATCAAAAAATATCACATACACAACAACCGCAGACGAATGTTTAGAAAACCGGCACGAGTAAGAAAACATTTAAATGACTGAAAACGTTAGAATGTAACTGCAATATTAAGCCACGGCACCTTCCACTCTTACCAAAGGGAACCTGAGTGCTTCTCAACCTGGACCATATTCCCCCATGTTTGTGTGTCTAAGTGACTCATTTTGTTAGAGTTTGTTAAATTGGAGGACAGACTAAAGATATTTGGCTAAATATTAGGCTGACATGTCACCTATCGTGAGAAAATTAGTTATTTCTCTTTCCATAATGTTGTGAATCACTAATAATAATCTGAGCTCGTCAATGGAGGGAAAAAAAAGCAATTTAAGTGGACGTACATTAACGTTGCAGAATTTGCAAGCATCTGCAGCTAATTAAAAACATGGGAAAATAGGGTTGAAAAAAATACTAGTTACCCATTAGTTTTACTGTATATCTCCACTATTTCTCCATAACATATATTCACCTGTTGACCCTCGTTCGGCCCCGCCCCCTTCCTCCATTCTCGACCAATTGGGAGTGGACTTCCCACTGGAACCGCCCTCTCCAGCCCCCTCCCGTCTCTCTGTAGACATCGGAGAGTGGCGGCTGCCGACAAACCTGGTGAATGAGCAAACAGGAACAAAATCACGACGAGTTGTTTTATATTCTGCTGTTTTTATGAGCTAAATGTGTTTCCACTGATTAAAAATGCAGTGCAAGAAATAACAATGCATTTGAGTACAGGCTGCAGTGGGTTGAAATCTAAAACAAAAAACACCGTCAAGAGCATTACAATGTACAAAGGCACACAAACGCTATGATCTCACGGTCCTACACCAACGTAACACACTGTTACAACTGTGGGAATGAGAGAATCAGCTGCGTAAGTGTAAAACAGGAGCAATAAGAGCTGGCGATACATTATGCTTTCTAAAAATAAAAACTGAGTAATGCGCTTTGTAACCCAATAATACATCAACTCATGACTACAATCATGACAATTTTCTCTCATTAGTTTCAAAAGAAAGTACCTAAAGGCAGCAAAAAGATGTGTATGGTACTGAAGGAATTTGAATGTCCTGATATGCTTTTCTGATACGATATATTGAAACTTGAATAAAGAATCCTTCTGAAACAAACTCAACCACAGACAAAGACAAACACAACCCCCCCCCCCCTCCTTACTGCTCAGGCATGGACTTCTGTCTCCAGTGAGCGGAGCTTCCGGAGGCGTCACTGGAGCAAGAGAGGTTGCTGGGAGAGCTGCGATTGTGAGGGGAGCGACCCAACACCAGCGAGGAGGCCAGGCTGTAGCTCTCACTGCCCGGAGACATCCTGGTTTACCAACACACACACACACACACACACGCACGCACACGCACACACACACACACACAGTAAGAATTGACGGGCATGTGGAAATGTTGGAACTAAAGTTAGGAGCAAAATGTTCTTAGTTGTGCCTTCAGGAGGTAATTCCATTGATTGCTACTTCCCATACATGCTGGATGAGTAAAATGAAATGACTATTGAATACTAAAATATAAATATTATATTCTAATATTCCATATCTAAAAAGCCAAGGGGCTCTAACCTCTTGGTATCCAGGGGACGGCCATCGCTGCTGACGCTGCGTGGGATGACTGCGCCCCTCTCCAGCCTCTCAGCTGACAGGGTCTTCCCCACTGAGCTCCCCAGGCTGATGGCCCGGTTGGGCTGGTGGGGCTGCGGCGAGGCAGTGAGTGACTGCTGAGGGCTGCTGGACGTCCTCTGCCACTTGTTGTTGTTACTGCGGAACGGAAACTTGTATTCGAAGGAGCCGCTATCGCTGCTGCTGCTGCCCTTGTATTCTGACACAGGCATCCGATAGAGCTCTGAACAGCCTCTGTACAAGATGAGGGAGGACATTTTGTTTGAGAGGCAAGTGTTGTGTGTGTCAGTATTGTATATAGCTTATATATCTTGGCAGGGATTTGTGACTTTTTAAATATCTAATGACCAATAAAACCAACCATTGTATTTGTTTATACATGTTAATTGCTGGGTGCTCAAGTAGGCATTTTGGTCTCTTAAAAAGGCCACCGTAGTTCTCCCACTAGCTTGGAACCGGAGGAGTAAGAGTATTCAGGTGGTTGCAATCTGCAAACTCACCACTAGGTGCCACTAAATCCTACGCACCGCTCTTTTAAAGTAAAATGACTCACCACTGAACTTCAGATATGAAAGGACAGCAATTCTGTTCACTGTTTCTCCAGATAACTGAAATACTATATCAATGAACAAGTGGTGCACATAAGAACTTGAAAATGAAACAATTGATGGCACCTCTCCCCATCCCCACCTACCTGCGTGGAGTGGCATCATCGTGTGGCGGAATGATAACGACGCGCACCGTCACCGAGGTCCGCAGGAGGTCGATCATCTGCTCGTGGGTCAGCGTTGCCACAGCGACTTTGCAGATTTCTACCAATCGGCTTCCCTGTCGCAGTCCTGCCTGCCAGGCGTAACCGTATGGCTCCACCTGTTAGGGACACAGCGTGATTACATTACAGCTGCAGCGGTGAGATGATTACTAATCCAATTCAGTAACATCCAAGGCAGAGAGTCTTCACCTAGTTATGTTCAATGAGGAAAAAGAAATACATCAATTATAATCATCGCGTTAACAGAGTAAGTAAGTAGAGTGAGGCTAATAAAGCATATTAAGATCTTCAAGGTAAACACGTTCTACCCCAATAAACTAGATTGTTTGAGAGCACATTTGAGTAAAGGACAGACGGATACCTCGGCCACGATGCCTTCGTAGTTCACGTGGAAGCCCAGCTGCCCCAGGCCATTTCGACGAAGCGTCATCTCTGATGTCTCGCAGCCCTTAGTCAGGAACTGGACAAAGGGAGGGCAGAGAGAGGCACAAAGACCTGAACATTAAGTGACATAAATTATCAGAGGAGACTCTATGAGAAAGAGTTGAGAACAGAAGAGGGGACATAGTGAAAAAGCACCGTGAACTTTTCTCATCTTCCAAAACAACAATGTTTTTATGTGTAGAATCAGTTTGGAAACACTTAACAGAATACTGGGATGATTTATAGGATTATCTTCTGCAAATTATTATGGTCTGTAAATGTGTAGCTCAGTATGTGTGTAAACACGCTCAGTGCATATGTACACATGCTTTCTATTTAGCGCTGTAGAGGAGACTTTTTATAAAAATCCCTAAGAGATTCATGGCCATAAATAAAGATCAGTGCTCCAGAAACAGCAGCACACCTGTCACTGCATTCACACACACACACACACACACACGAGACAGATGACAGACATGAAAGCCGGTGTGTCTCTTGATGTGACACTTTAGGCTGTGTTCACACAGAGACGCGTCGCTTAGAAGAGACACCGTTTTTTTTCATTAAAGGATGCGTCTGTTCAGGCGGGGCGGGGAACGCTGTGACACAGCCACGTGTCTTTTTCTCAGGGAGTGGGGAGGAAAAGTTGATAATATTTACATTTCTCAACAGCCACGATCACCTAAAGCCAATCCTCCTTCCTGGCTACTTGTTCATTGAGGTCAGTCACAACAATCTCTTCCTCCCTCTAGTGTCGCTCCTGGCAGCTTCAGGGCACCTTGCATGTCTTTGTCGGAACAGGGCAGCTCTATAGTAGTCGAAGCATGCCTGAATAAATAATGCTGCATGCACTGGCACCTGATAGGAATTGTTATGATGCCCTCTGTGTGGGCGTGGGAGAGGACGAGAGTGCAAGGAAAAGGGGGTAACGTTAAAGAGCGGAGGAAGGGAGATAGTTCCAAAAAGCGAGTGGCCAGGAGGCCAGTTCCCTTCCTCTGGCACCGAGGTAGTCCAAACGATTGAAGATTAACGGATGCATAAAATGCAAACATGAAAGTGATGTATTATTGGGTCCTGATAACGATGTGTGTGTTCAAATATGTTGGTGTGCAAATCAAACATGGACGACTCAATCCAGGTTACATAAATGCATGATAAAAACCAACACACACACACACACACACACACACACACACACACACACACACACA